AAACATTTCATTTCTTTACTATTTGGATTTAGCAGTTCATGAATTCTCATGAACTCTTATTAAAAGCGTTTAAATCTGTATTTTATGTGGTTGCAAACAGGCCTTTCAAAAAGTCTGACTGTTGGTACTTGATACAGAAAATGAACTATATGGAACAAGCAAATAAAAGCTTATCTCCTTATTTTGAATTTTGGTGTAGGCAGTGAGAGAAAACATAAGGTAGTTTCTTCAGATATATTGTGGGACTGATTTTTTTATTTTTTTTTTGTAGTTTCAAGTCTGTCCTTTATTTTGTTTGGAGATTTGTGGAACTCTTCCAGCAAATATACCATTGCTTATACCTCTTCAAATCTGATTTTGTTAAGGATATGTGTAGTGTATGAATATGTCTTTACTTTTCTAAAGCTGTCTTGTGTCTTTCATGTATGAAATACAGATGCTTTCATTGAAAACTTGACATGGCAAGTGTTCCAAACTACACGTATTGAGTGCTAACCCATTTCTTCACAAGCTGTTTCTTCAGATGTGTGTTAATCCAGCAGCTCTTGTAGAATGAGTGTTGTGTGTCAATTGCTGCTTTAGTGTCAAAAGCATAAGACTGAACATGTGTTTCTCTACTGCTTATCAGGTGAACATTTGCTTCAGGAAAGAAACAAAGCAGCCCAAACTGCTGGAACGTGAAATGAATTCATTTTGCCTTGTTTACATATCTGTGGTAACTTTGTCCTTGAGTTGTTTGTGTGTAAAGTCAGAATAGAGGGGGTTCGTTTTTGAAATTCTATAAAATACAGAAAGACATCAGGATATTTCACTTCTACTTACTGATCTATTTGTCTGAATCTGCAAAAATTGTCTGGAATCTAGCATACTACTACTGCATTCCTACAGTCTGCTCCCTTGGGAGAGCAACACATGCTGCCAAATTTGCTGTGATGAAGAACACTTCAGTATTGTGCCTGTCAGTCTGGAGAAATGATAAACCTATGCAATATATTTCATTACTTAAAATAGTGTCCAAAAAGTGAATGTCTGTCCTATACCAATAAAATGATAACACCTACAGACCTATTTACATAGCTACAGTATGGAGTATCCTGCAAGTGTTACAGCTTTATAGATTGACTTCTAAATTTCAGAAGATTTTGCTGTCCTAATTGGAGAAACTACTGCCTCAAGCTGATCTTGCTGGATAAATAGGATAAATCAATGAAAAAAAGCTTAAGATGAGCCAGAACAACACATAGGAATTTATCTATTCACTTCTTTCAACACCAGCAGATGTTTACAGGTGCCTTGAGTCTAAGCTCTTAGAACCCTGACTCTTTAAACTTAATATATTTTCTTAAAGTGTTCTGCAAATGTACAGTGTTGTTCCTTTCAGCTGCAAGCCTTCCTGCAGCAGCATCACACCTGAACAGAACTCCCTCTCTCCCAGCAGGCTTTGCAAGTCCCTTTATGCAGAAAGACTAGCAATTGTGTTTTGATAGTAGGTGCATCTACCTGGCATAATGAGGAACAGCTCTGATGTATCAATTGGAGGAAGCCTGGGTTTTTTGTTACTGTGAATTTATCCAATCATAACTTAAGTCTTCAAGCTGGAGCAGCCCATATGTCTTTGCAAAGAAGAGAATGCTGGGGATGGTGTCTAGGGGGAAACTTGAACCTACAACTTTACCTTCAGTATGAGGCTCAGCTAGTGTGTTGATGCTGCTAAGAGATCTGATTCATCTCCCATGTGCAATTAGGAGACCTTTGTGTAGCAGGCCTAGAGGAGCAGAAGGTCTAAAGCATGACATCCAAAAAGCGGTAACTGCTTCATGCTTCACTTCACTTGCCTCTCTGGAACTTCCATCATTACTTCATCACTCACTGGATCAGAGGAAAGCCCTCAGCTAGCCAGCTCAAATTTTGTCCTCTCTGTTCTTGAAGTGATAGCAACAAGTCTGGACTCAAAAGAATATTTGTTAGCCAATGTAGCCTCCTATTATGGCTGGCTACTAGAATTTTCTTTCAGCAGGGACAGTGTGTTTGATTCTTATCAAGATTTCAGGACTTGGAAAAGACACCTTGGAATCCAGTTTGACAGTATGTGGGAAAACAAGTCTTACAATTGGATTGGAAGTGTGGATGATAAGTAGCAAGTATTTGGCAGCGACAGGAGAAGCTCCTGGTATTAGTCAGGGTATATTAAATACATGATCACACCTGAATCTTTCAAAAGTAAAATTACAGTTTGTAAATCAGCCAACCAAAAGATGGTTTGTAAATTACCTCCTGTTAAAGAAAATGTTATGTTTATCAATGCATCAATTACTGTAACACTGAAGACTGTCTACTGTTTCTTTTTAAATTCAAACAGCTGACATTTTCATGTTTGTTTCTGACTAATGTAAATTGACACTTGGGAGTTCAGAGATAAGGTTATTTGAATAAAGATGCATATTTTTAGTAAGCATTTTTCTTAATTTGGTGTGTGTCAGTGAAATCCAACCAAGTGTATTTGAAGCAGCCTTTCCCCTCTTGTTCAGTTTGAATGCTTTGAGCTCTGTCCTCAGTCCTACCTGAAGGTACTGGGGAGTTAGCAGCAATGGGAAGCTGAATCCAGCCTCCCTTCATTCTGTGCAAAGGGGTTACAGCCCGTCTTGCAGCCTAACACAAGGGTGACTGATCCAGGAGTAACACTGACTCAAAAGCTGCTGCTAAGACAGACTTGCTGGAGTATCAGGCACGTCAGGTCAAATGTGAAGCACTGTATCAGTTTCTAACTCTCTTTGAAGCAACTCAAGTTGCTTGCTGGCTGCTTTGTGTACCTCATTCTTCTGAGCTAAAGACTGCCTCCATCTCTGATGGTTTTTCTGCAGATTCCCAGGCTACTGTTGCCTGGGCACTCTGCTCCTCCCTGCTGGAATACCACAGGCCTGCCCAAAATAAGGCAGTCTGTGGCTCAGGTTTTTGTGGGGTTTGTTTGATTTTTTTAACTATCTAGTAAACTGTTATAACCTTCCCCAAGAATTCTCTCACTGACCTTTGTTTCCCCCAGCCAGGAGCAAGTTCTTACTAGCTGGGGGAGAGGAATCTTTAATTGCATCTATCCAAGCTGAGAAAGCCCTAAAATACTTAATTTTCTCTTTCTGTGCAAGTGTTCTAATGTGATCCAACTTCCATAAAAAGGGACAGATGCTTAGGGGGATGGAGTGGGGTGAGAGTCTTAGTCCTTCCAAAGAACACAGATACTTCTGCACTGGGTGGCAGGAGTTCAGTGGTGTCACCAAGCTGGGGGATGCTGCCAGCCTTCTGCTCTCTGGGTGCCTTGGAGAGGCAGCAAAACAGCTACGCAAGTCTCTGGGCATAAGAAAAAGTCTGGCTGACTGCCAGACCAATTTTGAATTAACTCAAAATACCTACTGTGATCTTAATGCTGGATTTTTAGTTACTAAATTTTGCCAGATAAAATATTTTCCTTAATTTTGTGCTTTTGACTTCAGGCTAATCCATGCTCAAGTTGAGCGTTCTCTGCTGAAGTTGGGATTAGTTATCACAGACCATCTCAAGTCTATGATCTCAGTTCTAGCCCTTTGGGCAAGTACAATACAGTTTTGGTAATCAGGGTCAGAGCTGGTCAGATGTAAAGTTGATTGTTCTAAAACAATGCATGGTTCTAAAAGTGCACAGTGATTATAAAAATTTTTATTCAAGTGAAAGAATTCATAGGTATTTGTAGTATATCAAAGTAGTTCTGTTGTGACTTGGAATTCCTTCTTCTGAATTATGTTTTATTTAAAAAATAAAGCTTCTTGTTTAATCGTTAATAATCCAGGATTATGGAACATCCTGCTTTTTTTAATAGTAACAGGTCTGCTTTAATTAGAAAGGCTCAAATACAGATTAAGGCATTAGGCAAACTGGAATCCTCCCATCTCAGTGAAATGATGAGAGCGCTGAGAAAACCATTTAGATAATCAAAATTACAGAATATTTCATTAAGGTATGCACAGTCAGAGTAAGATAAATGAAAAATAATGAATTTACGAGACCTAGCAAATTATTTTCTTTCCAAAGCAGTCTATGATCTAGGTAGCAGATCCTGCAAATCTTCACCTGAAGGTGAAGGCCAATGATGTGCATGTGAAGAAGAGGATCTGCCCAAGCAATCCACAAACAAAAGATTCCAAGGCTGCATCACAGCATATCAAATCAGTCAGATTAATTTCTCCTTTACTGACAGTCAGATTAAAACCACTAGGGCAGCACCAGTCAAGGTGGTGGTCTGGATGGAGACAGCCTGGGGCAGGCTGAAATAGGCCCTAAGGAATGGAAAGTAGGAAGACATGATTTGCATTTTTGTCATTGCTTTCTTTTAAAAAAGATAATAAAAATGATAGCAGTAACCTGTGAGACAAAGCAAGCATCTGAAAAGTGCATGGAGAAAATGAATTCAATACACGTTCTATTTGATGTGATATTAATGGATAAAAAGGATTTGGGCTTTTGCTTAATAAAGAATTCCAGTTTTCAAATCTCATTTGATGATGTAAATCCAAAAGGGTTTTCTACTCAGCAGCACAAGTTTTGCCATTTCACTGTGGCCATTTAGTCAACTAGGTTTTTAGTTCCAATCTGTTGTGTTCAGGAAATGTTTTCATCTCTGTGAAAGTGAGAGTTTGAGGACGGAAGGAGTCAAAATGCTGTTGCACAGTATAATTGATTTTGTGTGTGTACAATTAGCTTAAAACACTCATATAAAAAGTAGGTAGCTGCATCTAATGATTTTTTTTTGAGTAATCTGAACCATCTGCCTCTAGATATTAAGGAGTTCACTCTTTAATCCAGATTATGGCTGACAAACTGGTTTTGGCATTCACGTTTCACTAGCACTGTGCCCTTGAAGAGCTGGTGTGGCTGTAGAAACTCTTGCTGACAACCACTGGGTTTGGAAAGGTTCTTGTTTTGGTTTGGCTTTCTTGTAGTTGTTGGCTTATAGCTCCTTTTCTCTTGAGAAGATGGCTTTTCTAATGAAAAGTATGTTGAGCAACCAGGTAAAGAATTTGGGACTTGGAGGCGGAGGGGAAGAAACCAAAGAAGAAAACACTCCTTCTGACCCAGCAGCAGCTGCAGGAATGACCAGAGAGGAGTATGAGGAATATCAAAAGCAAATGGTTGAGGAGAAGTGAGTACCTGTTCTGTTGTTATCAGTGTGGGGCTAGTTCTTGGTACTTTAGGCAGATAAAAATAAACCAAGTAAAGCCAAACATCCAGCTCTCTTCCCTTTGTTTTTTTGTTGTTGGGTTTGTTTGCTTGGGGGTTTTTTGGGTTGTTTTTTTTTTCTTTTTTAAGCAGACATACCTTTGCTAAAGAGACTTTCCAAAATAAAAGTTCACCAGCTGGAAATGTTACAATATTATGCTTCCCCTTGCTTCCCCCCCATCCTGCAGCTCTCTCCTACACTTCCTTGTCTCGTACACACCTTGGTATGTTGGATTCATTCCTCTTTGACGTTACTTTATCTACCTGAATTTTCCATGGGTACAAAGCTGTTTGTAGTGCAGGAGTTCATTTTAAAATGTGTGTGATTTGTTCTCCTACAATGCCACGTGGAGTATGCTTTCAATACATTATCTTCTCTGTGTCCACATTTATTATGGCTGACATGAAAAAAAAACAAGTGCTGGATTAAATGGATTACACTTATCTAGAGAAAAGTTTTAAGATGGTAATTTTTTTGTTATTTTCAGTTATTTTTAATAAAATCTACTAAATAAAGCATAACTCTTCAACTGATTTAATATCCATTTTAGCTAGTCTGTCATAACATTTACCACTTGCGGAGTTTAAGTATCAAAGCAGAATTAAAATAAAGGGCCTAATGTGTAGGAGTTCAAATCATGCATGATTATAAATAAAACAATTGACTTTCAAATCTCAAATGCATCTGTTCCTTTAATGGTCAATTACATAATGGTTGTATAAATCCTTCATGTAAGATGATTATAGGTGAAAGGTTAATGACTGATGGAATTTGAGGTATCCAGGTCTGTATTTAGCAGCAGCCATTTCTATCATATAAACTAGTGTAGGTATCATTTGGTTTGGAATAAAACACAGAAGTTTGGCTATGCATTTTGACAAGGGATATTTAAAAGAGAAATACCCCCTGCTGGCAGGAAGATGCTTAATTGAGACCAAGAAGCAAAACAGGATTCCTGGGATAGGGAAAATGCTTGGAAAAACAATTATTTCTGTGCTGTTCTCAAGTGTGGCAGGTGTCTGTTCCATGCTGAACTGTCCTAAGAAATGAGAGCAGGAGTACTTTTTAAAGTATAGTTTGGAGCTATAATAGGAACATCGGAAGTACTTTCAAAGAGCAAAAATGGGCTCAGGACAGTGCACAGAGTCTGTGCAAATGTGTGTCAGAAATGTCTGCCAGGGGCTCTGTCTGAGGGCGTGCTGGGCTTCCCTGGCTTCCAGGAGTGGTCATCAGAGGATCCCTCTGGAGTTTCTGCCAGAGTCTGGCATTTTATGTGTGGCCATTGTGGCTTTGGGCCTTTCCCAGGTTTTGGGTTTGGTTTTTTTGGGAGTGATTAAATACACAAAAATGAACAGGCTTCTGTTTCTCAGGAAAACGTGTAACACACAGGAACAAACCAGTGACTGGTGCTGGCAGTCTCCAGCATGGTCCCACAGCATTTACTACCAGCACCACCAGAGTTTGGACAAGAGGGCAGCACCAGTTTGTGCTGTACATCACAGGCTCTTGGCTGTCACACAGCTGCCCCTGTACCTGCCTGCTGTGCCTACGAAGCTTCATGTTCATGAGATCCTCCAGAATAAAGCAGTGTAAGATCAGGGCAGATCTAGGGCCCAGGCAGTGGTGGCAGATGGGCTCAGTTATGCCAGATCTTCCCATGATGCCAGAGCAAGTGGGAAGCTCCAATCGACCCGAGCAGGAAACTCCATTTTGGCCCTGGGCCTCACAGATACCTCAGGGCCACGTGGGAATGCTACCCTCAGGATATACCAAAACAGCTCTGGCTGGTAATGGGCCCTCTGGAGGGGAGTGGGCAATGGAACGGAGTCTGAGAAAGAGAGGGAAAACATGCCAGAAGGGCTCAGCAAAACCTCCTTTCAAACTTCCCATCAGTGAGAGGCTGAAAGAAGTTTAAGATGGCTTCCAGTTAATGTGAACCTTTGAGAGACATAAAACCCCAAAATTAATTTGTGGAAGCAAAGGAAAGATTAATATTTCATTTTGCAAGTAGCTTTTATACAGCAAAATACCTATACTGGAACAAAGTTAATTTTGCTATAGAGTTTCCCAGACAGTGTTTCTGGGGAAAAAAAATAAAGGGAGCAGAGAGAAGGTGAATATTATCAAATGTTAAAAAAATCTTTGAGGAGATTCATTTTGCAAATAAATACATAGGTAATCTAACTGTGATGAGCAGTTCTTAAATCTAACTAAAGTGTTTTTCAAAGTGAAAATAAGTACTTTTCCACACAGGGAAGTTGTGGAATTCATTGCTGTAGGATATTCTGAAACAATAAATGGATGATGCCAAGAAGACCAGGAAAATGTGTAGGTGACAGAGGCCATTCAGGGCTGTTAAAGGCAATGATGTAGAGCCCATGTACCCAGCTCCTGTACCCAACACCAGTGAGTTTGGGAAGCTGGGCAGTTTTGATACAGGATGCTTATCCTCCTCTTAAATTCGTTCTCTAAATGTCTGCTACTGACTGCTGTTGGAGAAGGGCCTTTAGGAGAAGCAAACTTCTGGTCTGGCCCAGAAGGGCCATTCTGCTCTTGTCTGTGTGTGGTTACACTGTATAAATGTCAGCTCTGAAGAACAGGAGACCTCTGTGAGTGCCCCAGTGGAATAAGCAAGGAATAGCAACACTTTGCCGTCCTCCGTATTGTAAGTGTTCAGGGAGTGTACGGGGAGGGATAGCAGCTGTGCAGGTACAAACTCCAGACAGGTGTATTTGCTTGAAAAGATTCAAGGAAACTGATAGGAGAACATGTTTGGGGTACAGGAGGTCTGGCCCCTCAGCATCACTTTATGGCTTCTCTTGTGCCTTGGGATGACTTACACAACTTTGGGAGTAATTCCTCCTTTTTGCAGTCAACTGGCTCAATGTAAAAGACTACTGTGTTGCTATCTTGAAGAAACATTTTTTCTGATTTCCAGGATGGAAAGAGATGCTGCATTTGTACAGAAAAAAGCAGAGCGAGCCTGTCTGAGGGTTCATCTGAGAGAAAAGTACAGACTCCCCAAGGTAAGCCTGCAGCTCCTGATCTCATCTGGTTCAGTGCCAACTTTGAAGCAAACAGGCCACCACGGTGGCAAAGTGCCTTCAGTAGCAGGATCCCCACTGCAGCTCAGTGCAGAAATGGAAGAGACCAGAGCCATGGTTTTCCCTAGTGACAGCTTCTTTTACACCCTTTTTTCTTGGCTCAGTAGCCAAATATAGTCCTGTAATCTCTCCCTGTACTGCCAGATCTGAAACAGGGTCCTAGGCAAGCTGAGTGTCTCATGTCTTACAGCATACATTCTTAACCTAACAAAAGGCAACACTTAAAAAAAACAACTCTAAACACAAAGTCTCTGAAAACTCCCCTACGAGCTGTATGTTTGAGTTCTGCTAAACTTCTGAAGGTTCATTTTTACTGTCTTCTTTCAAGAAGTGTACACTGTCCACTATTTTTCTTCAGTGCTCCTGACACTCTTTGTCAAATATTCCCAAGAAAGCAAAAATATAAACAGAAGCTTCAAGCAACAGAGAAATCTGGAGGTTTGTTAAAAGCAGGCAGCAGCTGCAACAGCTTCTGGATCATGACAGAAAGCAGTTAGCATTTGGATTGATAATAGCTTCCTGACATAAAAGCCCATGGATACAAAGAAAGAGAACTCCCTACTGTATTTGAAGTGTTTCCCTGATTTAAAGGGAAAACTTGCTGACTTTCCCAGCAGATTATTTAAACCCATCACATATTCCCGCTATCTTTAAGGACACATCTTTGAGTTTATAACCACCTCTGCACACATCATCTCTGCTACACCCTCTCATAGTGTTGAACCATTTCAGATAGCTCCTCCAGCTCCCCCTTTTCCTCCAAGTAAATAAATTAATAGAGTCTTAATTCAATCACGTCTGTCTACACCCTGACCTGTGGGGCTGCTTTGTTTGGCTGGTTTTGAGCAAGGGACTTAATGGTCCCACTTGTCCCCTTTCCTCTCAGGGCCTTCTGGTGGAGCTTCTGGCCCTGGGATAGTACCAGCCTGCAGTTTAAGAAAGTCAACCATTTGCCAAGGAAAGGATTTTTGACAGTTTCCTCAGTGCTCTGTGAATCTAGTGCTAAATCTAAACTCCTGCATGAGTCAGTGCTGGGCCATGCTCTCCAGGTTGGAGTGCTACCATCCCTGTTATTCAACTGCCTGATGGTCCCTTACACAGCTCTGAGCCAAGTAGCCCCTTAGGTTCCATTGCCTGGCATGACTTGGGAGCAAAGGCAGATATGACTGAGGAATTGTAAAGCTAGTCTTGGAACCTGCAAGCAATGGAACTGAGTGTTCATGCATGTTCTGCGGCAAGCATGACTAAATACTAGCACAGTTGCAACCAT